AAAAAGTAAATGACTTATTTAACTCTCTGTTCTTTCTGTGCTATAAATTTGGAATAAATGTGACATTGATGACATTTTTGTTGTTTCGTACACATTTAATAATACTAAAATATGTAATTCTTATTGGTTATAACTATTGAAGTGTCGTGTCATCAAATTGCATGAGGAAATTTTGTTGAAATGTGGTTACGTGCATTTTTGCTTGTTTGTACTCTTAGCAAACCAAATCAAAATATGTAATGCTACTCTTAAATTTTAGCCCTCATTTCAGATGATTAAATTAAATGCCACACCAATGTACACCAAACAACACACGAGTTGTATGAAATCACAGAAGCAGAGAGCCAGCCTCCTGCTCGGTCACGCAGTCCTGCTCTGACCAATTCTGTGGGATTCACTGACTCCGCACGTGGTCAGCAGGCGTAGCTTCTGAGCAGGCACTGTGCCAGGCCAGGGATTCCAGGATGCCTTTCAATGTGGCCATGTTCCCCTCAGTGTTTCCCCGTCCAGCATGGAGGACATCAACCTTCAAAAGGTCACCTTACATAATTGAATACACACACATACACACACACACACACACACACACACACCTGCTTTCTATTATTCAACAGGAATATGTAATAGTAGCTCATATGTGCTGAGAGCTTCTGTACCAAGAGCGACACTCAGGGTTCCACACATACTTATTTGGTCATCCTTCCCAGAGAGGCCACAGGCAAGACAACACCATTCCCAGATCACGGAGGCGGAGGCGAAGGACAGAAACCTAATGGAGCATACTCAAGGTCACAGGAGTCACTGGCTTCTAGTTCTCATGTGATCTGTGTATACAAATGTTAATCTGGGGCAGAGAAACCAGAAAAATTAAGAAAAAATAATGATACTATAATAATCAAAATACATATCATAAACAAGTGGAGGCCTTTGGGCTAGTAAAAAGACTCACAAAAATTCTTTTCATCCTGTGGTTAAACTTTCCCACTTAGAATGGCAAGGTATATAAAATAAAATTCTTAAAAACAGAAATCCGCTATCCTTTCTCAATCTGAAATTGAAATTCATATTTTAGAAGAACTAAAAACAGTATTTTACATTTATTTATTTACCTAGTTTGGTACTTAAGTAACTGTATGTGAGGATCAATTTTAAGAGTCAGCCTGGCAGATTTAAGTTCAAAAGTAATGCAAGGAGGATAGGTTTATTCTTAAGGCTTAAATTAGCTTCATCCGTCTCAAAATTTCCTTCATGTAGTTCTGACACTCATTTAGCTACTGT